AAAAATAAGTGTAATTATTTAGTTTTGAATAAAACATGCTCTGAAATTTTTAAAAACAAGATAACAAAATATCAAGTAATGTAAGGGATTATATTGATAAAAATAAAATTGATGAGGGCTAATTTGTTTACATTTAGCTATATGTATATGTTAATTCATCAATAGCTTTACACATTATATTATTTTAAGAGTTGGCTTGTGTCCTAAAACTTAAATGACTCACATGATAATTTAAAACACATAAATGACTAAATCAATAAAAATTAAACTTGAAAGACTAAATCAATAATTAAGATAAATTTGAGAGACTAAAAATTTTATTATCTCTTGAAAACATGGGACATTGCAAAAAAGGATGTTATTTAATAGGTAAAATCTTTTTTTCTCCACTAGGAAGTTACATAATTTCTTCAACCTTCATTGTGCCTTTTCTTTTAAAAAAAAGGACAGTGGAATGCAAAAGTTAAATGAATTTAGACCAATTACCTTTGCCATGTGGTTAATCAAATTATCTCAAAGGTTTTATGTAATGGATTAGAAACATTCCAAATCACCTTATCACCAGACCGATTTCTATGCTCATCTCACCTTGAGATGAGATCTAAACTGTAACATCCTAAATTTTTTTCATTTAGTAATTATAGGTATTTTCAAGGGTAAATTGATCAATTTAGATAAATTATTGAGTAATGAGGTTTATGGGAGACTAATATAGTTTTTTGGATCCTCGAATAGCCTTAGAAAAGGGCTAGGTAGGGGTTTAAATTTTGGTAGGGGTTTCTGTGTCATGCACCACGGCAGGCGTGTCAATGTGCCGCGGCACATGTGCAAAATTAGCACTTATCAAACACGAAAATAGATCAAAAACAAAAGAAAAAAAAAGAGATAATGAGAGAGTAATGGAGAAGAGCTTGTGTTCTGCTAGGGCACGATCCTTAAACCACATTGGGAGCATTTAGAGCTTGAATTATTATTAGGTAAGTTTCACATTTCCTCTTCTCCCTCATTATGCGAAAGTATGGACTTATGGGGCAATGGGGGCTCTGATTTTGATTTCCTTAGGTTTAGGCCGAAGCCATTAGCTTTTTTAAAGTCTTGGGAGTTAAATCAACCCTAAGTTTATGAGTTTTATGGTGATTGAGAATTTTTGTTGAGGGTTTGGACAAACCCTAGGCATAATCTAAAGATTTTGAGACAATGTGAGAAATTGGCTAGTGTTAGTATGTTGGGATGTTTAATAGGATGGTTAGAGTGTTTGGGAATGGTTGGTGCTGTTAAAAAGAAATTTGAGTGTTATGGGTATTTAGAACCTAGTGAATTCAGGGTTTATTCAAAGTGATAATTGACAATTTTCACTTGATTATGTAGATTGAGTATTACTTGAGTTACCTTATGCATATAGAATGTGTGGAGCTAACATTGAGCCATGATAACCCTTTTATGTGACAAAGGGTTGAGGTAACAAAATAATTTACACTACTTAATTATATTGCATAATTATTTGTGAGTAGATATGTTGATTTGAACTTGAAATTTGATAACCTTGCATATTGCGAAATGTGATTTTTCATGCATGTTAAACGAATTGCAATAATTGACATGATGAAAGTTTTATGTGGGCTAGTTGAGAAATGTGAAATATATATGTGTTACACATGATGAGTTTAAGCATGATCATGTTAGGAGGTGAGAGTTTACTTGTAGGAAGGGTAGTGACAATCCATACAGCATATATCTCCTTAGTGTCTAGTGAGGTATGGCATTGGAGATTTTCTCCTTAGTATCCATGTGAGATACAGCATTGGAGAGTGACGCTCCTTAACATCAGTGATACGGTGTTGGAGTAACAACATCCCAATTTGTGTGCGATAGGGGGAAACCATAGTCTAAAAATGGGATAGGACACCTTTGGCCAGGTGATCCTACCATTGAAGGTGAGCTCGGACCATTGTGAATGTGCACTTGGTCTAAGAGCCTATAGTTTCAATCGGGGTGATATGGAGGCTTAGATGGTAGAATGGTCATACTAGTGGTAAATAATTTATGTTTTTAAAAATGAATTGTTGAATATGCTACAGTGGAAATGAAAAAATTATCTTAAACTATGTTAAAAGTATATTATGGTATTTAAAAGCTTTACTCCCTTATGGTTGTGCATGTTAATTAATAATAGTAAATTATTCTGTTACTGAAATGTTTATCTCAACCCGTGGTTATATTTTACAGGCGAGGGCTCTGGTAGGGGTAAAGGAAGGAAGGGACAATTGAAGAGTGAAGAGCAATAGTTGTATAGCTCTTCCCTTTCCTCTTTTTAGGTATTGTAACGAATATTGCCATTACATAATGCCAATTTAGAAACATGACATTATTTGTTTATCACTTGTATGAATTTGTGATAAGTATGCATATCTTGGTCCAAGGTTGATATTATGAATTGAGTGTGTGTACTTGGCCAAGTTACAATTACAAGCAATATACTTGAAGTAATTTATATGCCAAAATGACCAAATTGATGTGTGTTAAATTTAATCCACCCCTTTGTGTTATTGTCAAATAGGGGTTTGGTGGTCATTTTGAGTGTGATTGCTTATTTGTTTGATATGAATGAATTGTCATGTTGTGTGTGGTCTATTTAAGGTGGTTAAAGTGTCTCTGGGTTAATGGCATTTGGTATTGTGAGTTGGACACTTTTGAATGTGTTTTGAGATGAAAATGAACCATTTTAGATTTGAGTGTTCATCTTTTTAATGGATGATTGTTTGAGTGTGAGACCGATGTCATTAGTTAGAGGGTTTGGAGAGCTTTGTGTGGACACTTAAACTACTCAAATAAGACTTCGGATGGCGAAATAGCGTGCTTTAAAAGTTTAGAGAGTTGTCATGACAGTAGGTGCGCTATAGCGCAAATGGCCTTAGAGGGACTTGTTCCTTTGTGCCATTTTCCGCGGTGGGTGTAGCTTGCATCGTGACAGACGAGCCAGAATATGGAGAATTTTCTAGATTTGTTTCAGCTTGCTTCAATTGCTGTTTTGATTTTCATGCTTCTGTTACTATATTTAATTAATTTTGAACTATGATTTTAGCTCAAACAACATATTTTAAAAAAGGTTTTCTTAGGATCTCAATATTTTAACTAATTATCTTTTAAACCCTAAGGTTGTGATAACTTCTTCTCGAGATTTTATCTAATTTTGGTTATCATAACGGCGTATAAGAGTGTTGTCCTGATAGTGTCAAAGTGAACATTACATGGACCATCCATATTTAATTTATTATTATATGTTATATTTATTAAAATAAAAAAACTTATTAAAATTATTTTATAATTTTTATAAATTTTTATTTTTAGTCCGGTCTAGATTTAGTTTAGCAGATCGAATTTAATATTAAATTTTTATAATTGATGTATATTAATTATCCAGATGCACTCTGCATAGTCCTGAACTGTGAAAAATAAATCTAGATAATTAATATACATCAATTATAAAAATTTTAATATTCAATTGGATTCTTTAAATTAAATATAAACTAGATTAAAAATAATTTTTTAAAATTTTTATTTTAATAAATATAATATAGAAAAAATGATAATAAAATCTCTCAAAAATATACAAATGACAATTTGGTCCCTTGAAATGCTATAATTCCACTAAAATTCCTAAGGACTTTTCTGTTATTAAAGAATTTATATAAATAATTAAATTATCTTTGTTGAAAATAAAATGATTATCAAATTTTGTTTAAATAATTATAACTTTTATTTTTATATTCGTAACAATGTAATAGCAAATCAAGAATTTAACATGTGAAATTATGATTTGTTGTTTCATTATTGTGAATATAAGAAAAAAAGTTGTGATTATTTAAACAAAATTCATAAATTGGTTTATTATCAACAAGGATAATTTGGTCATTTATATAAATTCATTAATGACAGAAAAGTCTTTAAAGATTTTAATAAAATTATGGCATTTTGAGAAATCAGATTATCATTTGTATATTTTTGAGGGATTTTATTATTATTTTTCTATAATATATAATAATATAATAATACTTTAAATTTGGACCATCTATATTAAAAATAAATTAAAATATTATTAAAATAATATTCCTGAACCCATCAACTTATTTCTAATTAAAGTATATTATCAAAATAGTTAGTGATTTGATTTTTATATTTGTATTATTTTTAAAATTTTAAATAAATTTTGAAAAAATTTTCAAGTGTTTATTTTGAACAAAACTAACTTTTCAATACATATATATGAATAAATATATAAATAAAAACCATTAAAAAATATAAAAATGTTGTTAATTTATTTAATTTTCTTATGAAAATAGAGATTTACAAATTACAAGTTGTTCGTGGTGAACAACAAATACCAGGTGTGCCAGAGACATTGAGTCTCAATTGATGACAAAAGAGTCCCGAGCTTCCTTACCATAGTTTACTCGAATGTAAAAAGATATAAGGCTTTAGTAGAACAAGTGTTCGATTGTTATTAAAATGTAAAAAGATTATAGACCTAAAATTGAGAACTAAAAAGGACTAACAAATGTAAAATTGCAAGTCTTTGATTGAGTGTTGATTAGTTTCTTTTGTATTTTTTTCTTCTATTTATAGTGTCAGAATAGTGGTAGCCTCCTCCTTAAAACCTAACACATTTTGCCGAAGAATCAGGAATCTCATAAAACTCATGGTACGGTCTTTATTTCATGCTCTCTATTGGTCCTGACGCTTCAATTACTCAGCTCAACTAGTCCTATGACCTATTTGAGTGACGTTTCATATTTAGCCCAAACAATGCCCCCATGTGCTAATAGCTAATAACATAAGCCACATGGCACGTTTGAAAAAGCTGAAATATCACTTCATTTCTGAGCGCCCTTTGTTGATATAAACTCATTTCTTTTTTTTTCTGGTCACTTCTCTTACCCTTTCTGTCGTTTCTTGAACTTCAAGCATTCACTCTTTCGTATTCCTCTTACCTTTGCTCTCAAATGGCTTCCTTCACTTCTGCCACTTCTTCTATTGTTGCTCCATCTTCCACCTCCGCTGGGAGTCTGCTTGATTTTCTGGCGATTATCCAGAATCTCGTTACCCCACTCGACAGGTTTGTGACAGTATGTATTCAGTAGTTTGAAAATCCTTTTTTCCCTTTAGATTGGTTCCCCATTCTAATAATTGTTCATCTCTTTGTAGAAGGATTTATCATTCCACGAATCAGTGGCTTTCTGGTAAATTTCTCGCTTCTCACGTTTAGCCCTTCTATTTTATTAGAAAAGTATGTTACCTATGCATTGTTTTTTTCAGTACTTCTCCTTGGAGCTTTTAAATCTCCAATAAAAGTGACGTCAGGTACCTAACCATCTCTCCCGACTTGTCCGAAGTCACAGCCCTTACTCAGTCAAATCTATGGCCACTGACCTCCATTCGCAACTTGGTCTTAGCTCAAACAACTTTACCCTTTCTTGAGTCATCCTAAAGAAAACTCAGGAACTGGCCTCAGTCTTCTCATACTTGGGTTAATTGGGTAAGGCACTTGAAGTTAGAATATGCACCTCAGTGGAAAGAGATGGGTTTGTACGACCTAATCCAGCTATCCCTGGCTAAAATTGATATCCTTGTCGAGCTTCTGACGACCTTCTAAAGTTTCTGGGCTCTGGGCTACAACGTCTTCATCTTTGAGGTATCTCTATTAAGCCCACTTTCATTGAAGACGTAATTTTTAGGTCCTTGTTAAGGCAACTAAGAACTTCTTATGTCTCATGACTTTTCATTTCAGAGGCGGCACATTACTAGGTAGTGTAACAAACCTACTTAAGCCCTTAGCGGCTTTTGGCTTTGAAGGAAGCTCTATGTTGCTTTCTGATGTTGTTAATAGTGGTAAAGGTAGGCCATCAAGGCCTACATCCCAATTGTTGGTGTTCTTATGAATAGTTCACCTGCTCCTGAGGGCGCTGAGTACTTTACGAAGAATTCAAATTTGCCAGACAGTTCTCCTAGGCAGTCCCAGACCAACTTAGATCCATCTAGCTCTATCATTATTAATCTCCCTGGGCTAATATCCCATCTCAAGGGTTGTTTGCTATTTCCCTTCATTTTCTGCTGGTTGCCTTCATTCTGGGTTTCTCCCAAGCAGTCCTAAACTTCCTTAGAGTCGTCCAAGCTTTTGATGCTCTGATCTTCTGGGCCCACGTCCTATCTAGAAGACTTGTTCCTGCTAGACCGACTCGTAGGTTTTCCCAAGCAGTTCCATACTATCTTAAAGTTTTCTTGAGTCACTTTATCCTTGCTCCAGATGTTCTAGGTTCTCCCATCTTTCTACCTACTATCACTTTTCCTGAGTCATCTATTGCCAAAGTTTATCTCCACTATGTTGACTGTGGCAAATAGTGGGAATGGGTCCTCGTCTACAACCATGGACTCTTTCTTAGAGAATTTTAGAACTCCCTTATTGATTCGGTCCTAAATGACATTCTTGAATTCCCAACACACCTTGGTGTTGTGACTCTACGAATGATGGTACTTACAGCATTCCTTCCCTCTCTGTTCTTCCTTTAAAAGGATTTTATGATCAGTGGGCAAGAGATAAAGTTTTCTTTGAGGAGGAAATTAAAGATTTCCTTTGTTTTAGTGGTATCAATGATGTACTGGATTGCGTTCAACCTTTTGAGAAGCTCTCTGGCCTTCCTTAGTTGCCAGCATTCCTTAGTTTCGCCACCGCCATGTCTAGGTCTTTAAAATAAGTTCTTGCCATAGTTCGTCGATGATGGTCATCTTCCTTGAGTAGTTCCTCATAACCCCATACTTTGGCACAAGTTCATAAAAATCTCAAAATTCCATCTCTTAAAATTTCTTTTAGAGTTCTATATCCAGTCCTGCTTGTGTCAGCTTGACGAATTTAGTTTCTAGAAGCGACATATGGCACTTGCTCCTCAAACATTTAAACCTTATCAAGTATTGGTCCGCCATCTCTCCGGCTTGTTGTGTGAGTTTGCAGAGTTCTGCTATGCTGACCTCTAGCTCAACCTTATAGAACTAGATATGGAACTTCTGCTCCATTTCATCCAATTGATGATTGAGTTACGGGGTATTGACGTATACCATGTGAACGTCGGGCCCATGAAAGTATTCAGGAACAATCTCAGCTTTAAGTTAGTGAAGTTCTTATAGTTAGCAATCTTGCCATATTGGATTGTGAACCTTCCAATGTGCTCCAGTGTTGACTACATTCCATCCCTTAAGAACAATGTGAAGTTAGGGATCTTATATCCCCGAGGTTATGGGTTGTCTCTGTCTATATATTCTGGATATGGTTTTGAGAGGGTGGGGTGGCTGATTGGCCTCAGCCCTGGTCTATATATATCCTGAATGGCGTCCGTTAGGGCCTCCATGTTTACCAGTTGGTTTTGAGGCTTGATCTGACGCTCTGGGATCATTGCCGTACCCCCCGGGCCACTCGTGTTGGGTTCCTATAAATAATACAAAGGATTATTTAAAGGATGAGTATGAGCAAATATTTTGAGGTTAGGGATGTCTCATACAAGTGTACGGCCCCGATGGCTAGCACTTATATTGATTCCTACTTGCTGCCCTCCAAGCGGCCCTAAACTCGACCCTGCTTCTAGAGGAGTGCCTCTCAATAACACGGCTATGTTCTTCATGCTGTTATGCAGAGCCTGCATCATGATCTGATGTTGTTCTTTCTCCCTGTGTTCTGATGTTTTCAGGGATAATCCAAAGAACCTTTGGTTCTCTTCCAGCTACTTATCCATTCGGTCTTGAATTCCCTGCAGCACTTTTGCCATAGGTCCATTGGATATGATCAGTGGGTTAAGTTGTTTACTTCCTAACTTTAAGCCAGGGCTCGTGTTGCTGCTACCTGTCATCATTAGCACTACATGGTCATGATGTTTAGCTGCTTCAGCGTCAGGCGATAAGTGTTCTGACCCTGCGTGCGTAGAGGTCCCTTCTGGTTTGTGAGAACCAGCGCCTGTTTCATCATTCCTTTTGTCTTTTTACATCTTTGCCATCTTTGTTACATAGGTCCCACCGGCGTGCCAAAAATTGTTTGTGGTGAATAAAAAATACCAGGCGTGCCAAAGACGTTGAGTCTCAATTGATAATAAAAGGGTCTCGAGTTTTCTTACCACAGTTTACTCAGATGTAAAAAGATACAAGGCTTTGGTAAAACAAGTGTTCGATTGTTATTGAAATGTAAAAAAATTACAGACCTAAAACTGAGAACCAAAAAGGGCTAACAAATGTAAAATTGTGAGTCGTTGATTGAGTGTTAACTAGTTTCTTCTGTATTTTCTTCTTCTATTTATAGTGTTAGAGTAGCGGTAGCATCCTCCTTGAAACCTAGCACGTTTTGTTGAAGAATCAAGGATCTCGCGAAACTTATGGCACGATCTTTATTCCATATTCTCCATTTTGGTAACCAGCCCATTTCATCGAGATACTTGGGCATAAATTTCAACATTACTTAAGATCGTGTCTTTGGGCCAACAGTCTAATATTTGCAATTGATGAGATTTCAGCATGTTAACTTATTATGGCCTTTATTGAACCTCAGCGCCGGCCCCTTTTATTTATATTGGGCCTGATGTTTCAATTAGTCAGCCCAACTAACCTTGTGACCTATTTGAGTAACGTTTCATATTTATCCCAAACACAAGTGAAGCGAAAATAGAAACTTAGTAGTAACAACCAAAAAAGAGAATGAAATAATTGAGAGTATATATACTAAAATGCTTTTTATTATCAACTAAATCAAATCAAATAAAATATAAAAAAATAATAATTGAAAAATACTGAAAAATTAAAAAATATGATTATATTATTACATTCACAAAATCCTCTAATATTTACAATAAATTTAAATTAATTTTGTTATCAATCAATCAAAATATCAAATCATTGCGCGAGTATGTAAATGGCGATATCTTTGTTCTTTTTCCTGGTTCATTGGCATTGGTAATAGCTTCTTTAGTGACGACCACAGCAACAAGTAGTACAGCGCCACATTTTCCTTTCTCTCCACTCTCTCGTCATCAACTCACTCCTCGACTCGCAGCGCCGGCGTCATCGTCTTCGGAGAAGGCACCGGTCGTAGACTTCCAGTAACCTACTGTTCTTCTCTTTCTTTGTATTCATGATTTAGTTTTGTTTGCTTTCGGAAACATGATATCTCTCTGATTCTTATACCATACTTTTCTAGTACTTGTTAGCACTCAGATGAATCTCTCTACCTTTTGTGATGGCTGGTATGTGGGAAATATTTTCTATCTTTGAAGAATTTGAAAGTACTTGGAAAACAATCTTAATTCTCTAGACGACGGATGATCAAGTGTCAGTTTTTTTTTTTTTTTATCGGAAGTGAAACACACTCAAAATGAATTTGATGTATGCATCAGGAATATTACTTTTTAGAGCCCTCAAAGATGGAGATGGGGAATTTCTTGTTTCACATCATAGTATTTCTTCACTTCACTTGAGGAATTTGCTGAATTATGAACGCGAGCCTGAAATCAGGCGCTTTTTTTTCCCCCTTTAGGTTTTGGTTTTCAAAAGAGAATATTCATGATCTGAAGTCCATAATTTTCATATTAAACCAGTGGTTTCTTTTGGCTTGTTTTCAAGTACGTGCTCAATTTCTATGTTTGCTTTCAAAGCTTGATTTCATTTGATACCTTCTTCAATTTGAATTGAATAGGTGCGGTTATTGGGGACCTCCGTAAGGTGCAGAAGTGCTATGGATACACATGATTGGAGGGCTCAATTACTGCCTCATATTCGCCAAAGCAAAGTCGATGAAATGTAGGTCTAAATTCTCTATTTGATTAATAAGATGGTCTGAGTAGTATCTGCTTTGAGACGTCATCTGTGCAAACTGTTGATGCTGTCTTAACATCCCCCCGTTTGTCATGGACGCTTAAATTTATTTCATCACAAAACATATATCATTGAATCCATGGTAAAGGAGCTATAACAGGCATTGCATGTCATTGTCAAACCCATCGAACCACTGATTCTTCTATTTGCTGGTTCAAGAACCATATTACTTGATGTATTCAATTTCTCTTGACACGCTAGTGTTTTCCATTTATAGACAATGCTGGACATTTCTATTTCAAACTTTCAATGCTGTATGTGAGCTCCATTCAAGATTTCTAGAAGGCAGTGTTATCTTATCTTTACCCATAGCCTTGGTTAGGGGACTAGGAACTATTTTGGTGTTCTATATATTGTCGTTATGACCTTGAAAGCTGCTGATATTTGTTGTTACATTTCACTTTGGCCCAAAATATTTGGAATAAAATGTGTGTTATATGCCTATCTTGTGTGTGAACTAGATAAGTTTTAATGGATTTTGGAAAAGGAAGACGTTTATAATTGTCAGGTGCTAGGATGATGACACAAGTCTTCAACAATCTACTCCAGATGACATGTTTGCTTATCATTTATTTTCAATAAAACGAAAACCACCCAAAAAAACAAAAAACAAAGGGGCTGGACGCTTACATAATGATCATGTTTTTTCATTTGACCGTTGTATGTTGTCCTCAACTTGATTCCATGTCATTGTAAAACAACTCTTCGTTTTGTAGAATGAGTACATTAAAATTGTATCAGTCTCATGATGGTGATGATGGTGAATTACTTGAAGTTCTAAAAAGTGCACAAGGTTTTGAGCAGAAGACTTATGCTGGTGCAGCTAGCCAGGTACATACGCCAATAATGTGTAATCTCAATTAATATAATAATTTGCGGTCATCTATGCAGATGGGTGAATCATGATGTAAGTATTGTTTTAACAGGGTCAACTTTAGCAGTGGCCCACTTTTTTTTTTTACGCTGTCATGTGCTGATTTGCTGTGATGCTAATTTTCTAACATTTTGGCATTTCCTAATTTCAGGAAGATTACTTACAGAAAATATCCTCAATGTTGTTAATAAGTCAAAGTAAGTCCCAGAATGTCAATGTCACCATTATGCCATTGGATTCAGTTATTGACCCATTTTAGATTTTGGAGGTTTTTAATCCTAAAGCCTTTGAGCTCATTGTATTGGTTGAATGTTCAGGGTCTACTCTGACTTTATTCTTAGCAATTTAGCTATAGCATTCCACTAGCAAAAATTTCAATTTGTAACTTCTTTTTTGTTTGATATCATATATAGAATGTTGGCCAAGTTATATGATATTTTCCTTTAACTTTGATTTTAAAAAAATACTTTTTGTATTTCATTTGAATACCATCCAAATTTTGCGCATTTGCATTGTAATTTTGTCTTGGATAGAAGTGCTTTTCTGTCATAGTAATTTATTACTGTTTTGATTTGATGTTATTTTTTTTTTGTCTTCTGTGCTTGTAACTATGCTACTATTGTTTTTCCATTGACAATCAGATATGATTTAAGTACTCTGTTATTGATTTCTCAATCTAAATTTGTTAGTATGAATAATTGGAGAGGTACTCAAGTTGGATGATCCTTTACAGAGTATTGGAGGGCTGGACTGCACCCTGATAGTCGCCGAAGAATCGTCAACAAAATGTATAAATTTTTATGTTGTTTTACTTTGGTCATATATTTCATGATGGGGGAAAATCATATGCCACGCATCATTAGAGTTCTTCTATTTTTTATTCGGAATTAAATTGATAACCAGCTTAAGATTGATGCTCAAGATTATGTTTTGTAGCTGAGGAACTATAAAACATAATTTTTCTTATGATTATTGAATTGTATTTTTTGCATGCTTTATGTATCTTGAACTTATTTTTTAAATTAATTTTGTTTAAGAGGTCCCCCCACCATTGGATATTTGGGAGCTTTCTGATATACTTATTGTTATGTTTTTTTTTTTTTTGGTTATATTCTGCTTCTTGTTTGGTGTAGTTAGAGGACTTCTTCGTTGGCCAAAAAAAGAAAAAAGGTTAGAGAAATTCTTATTATATGGTGTTTTTTAATTGTGGAGAGGGGAGCATTTTAAGACGCAAAAGAGATAATCTCTTCCCATTAGGAAATTCATTTTATGGTATCCATGTATAACTCTGAACTGAGCTTGATGAGTCCATGCTTTTGTGTTTGCTTTTTGGTCCTTTTTGATATGAAAATGGACATGAAATGTTGTTATAAGGAGGAGAAGTATTTGATACTATCATCATTTATATTTCTAATCAAAATCTAAAATTCTGTGCATTTTCTTTGGAAAATGTGAATGGCATGAACGGTGCCTTGTGATCATGCTTGTTATTTGGAGGACTGTCTAATGCTATATGCTTCCCTGAGTTATAGTAATTAAACTGGTGTTATTCACCTTGTAGATTGGAAACATTAAGAAGACATCTTCCTGTTTCTGGCCAAGAGGGATTAGATGGACATCGTAAAATTGCTGCAAGATTTGAGGAGAAGGTTTATAATGCAGCAACAAGTCAGGTAGAGTCATCACAGTTTTACTTCTGACAGCCCTCTTGGTAGATCATTCTCATCTGAGCAGATGAATTGTGATAGAAAGTTGAGCAGTAGTTTAACTTTGTCTTGTAGCATATCATGGATTGCCATGATTTCTTACATCTCTAACATTTCCTGATTTCAGCCTGATTATCTTCGGAGAATATCATTGAAGATGCTGTTAATGGAAACTAGAGGCCAAAACACCATAGCTAACTCTATTCCATCAAACTTTGGTGACAATAGGGGTGGATCTTCTGATACAGGTATCGGCATTCAAAAGCCTCATGGTCTGATCTGTTTGCTACAAATAGCCTATGCAAGGTCATGAGCTGATAGTACTTTCATACCTTTTTTTTTTTTTTGGTGTCAGAATACTTTGATGTTTTGATCTGTGAATAAAACTTAATGAGAACTAAGCTAATGATGTTTGGTTTTATGGTGCATGTTAGGGCTGCACAAAAGACTGGACGGGACTGGACTTTAGCCTAACCCGAAGTCTGGTCCTTTTTATGAAAAGGATTGGGTTAGGTAACCCGTAGTCCGGTCTGGTCCTGTGAAAACCCAGAAATTAACAAGAATGGACTTAGTCCATAGGACTGGGAGATTGGCCCTATTAGTCCAATACTTACTTGGCCTTTTTTTTTCTCTATGATGACCAATAATCTATTTCAACTTAACAAATTCAATTAAGATAATAAAAACACTTATAATCATAATAAATCCATAATAATTTCTAACACCAAGAAAATAATATTTTAGTTACAGTCCAAACTCCAAATAATTTAAATACATAACTTCAATAAAAAATCAGAGAAAAGACCAAAAATAGACTAGAGGAAAAAAATCAGCAAGAACAGAAGTAATAAAAATCAGCCAATAAACATGTTCCTTTAAAGTTCGAACAGATCAAGATCAGAGTGCAAAGTGCAAGGCAAGGGCTAGGGCTTTGGTGCACTGAAGAAATTAAGAATGAGAGCAAAGTTGAGTGAGTGGCTGAGACGCTAAGTGCTGTTGAGTAACAGTGTTGAGTTTTTTTTTTCGATCAGAGTGCAAAATGCAAGGCAGGATTAAGATTTTTTTTTTCTAAGGCTTATTAATTAATAATTTATAAATTAATTTTAATTATATTAAAATAATTATATAGGACCAAACCGGACCACTTAGTCTAGATGCTTGGTTTCTAGTTTGGTCTTACCCAAAAAATCAGTCCTGTCTTTTTGGTCTTTTTGGTCCTATAAGACCAGCATTTTACAGGACTGGATAGGACCGAATTTTCATGGGTCGGACCAGACCGAACGAGACCACGAGACTTTTGTACAGCCCTAGTGCATGTGTAGAACTATGCGCAGAGTGTGTAAAATAGTGTATCTCATGGAGTGTCTGTGAAACAAAGGGTGGTCGGGTGGGTTTCTCTCCATTGCTTTTTCTCTCCGCTACTTTTCTACTGCAAATCTAAACCTTTCAAATTAAATATATACTTTTTAAAATTATAAAATTTAAATTGTCAAATTCAATTTAATGGTCCAAATCTGCAGTGGTTTCTCTCCTGCTTAACTTTGCAACGGAGGAAAGCCAACGCCCAACACCATTAAATAATGTATTTCGTGAAGTGTGCGTGGAATGTATGTAGTTGTCTTGAAAGGTGTGACATGTCTTCGCTCAATTTGAATGTCTTCAATGAAGTCTGTATATATATATATATATATATATATATATTTAGGTGTATTATTTAAGGTAGGTGGTTTGGAAATGATGTGCTCTCTTGTTCGTAATATGGGACATTTGTTAGAATTACTGTTTGATTCAAAATATAGTGCATTAGATACTTCTTATAATTTTTTTTTAGCTATTCCTCCACTTCATTTATTATTTCTTTTAGAAAATGGAGCCATTGAAATTTTAAATGTCATTATTAAGGCATCTATTTAGGAAATTTAATGAGTGTATAATTGAAAACATATGCAATTTTTAGAAAGATAAAAGTTTCAACAAACTTTTTTTTTTTTTAACCATGAAGAAGTTATCAATGCTCTATGTCAAACAAAGTATAATTTTTGAATGGTGAATATTAAGAAAAATCAGATTTTTATTTTTTGAATGGTGAATAAGGTCTGTTACTGTTAGGCGGGCTCTTGGAGGGCAGGTGGCACCATCAGAGGGAGAGAGAAATGCTGCAGGAAGACAGTCTATGAGAACAAGGAAGCGGCCTCAGTGGCTAGCTGACTTTGTCACCAATCTATAGATAGCTGCATTTTTTTTTTCGTCTGTTTTTTTATCGATAGCTGTATTTCCATATACTCATTGTCTCATTTCCTCAGGCCATTGCAAATAATGTGTACCAAATGTTATGTCCAGGCCACCATTTCGATTTTAGTGTCCTCTGCATGTCCTCTGTAGTGTGTCGTTTTGCAATATTGGCTTATAGGGCCTTTGATGTAATGACTAATGAGAAGGAATGCTTGCATAGGATTTGGAGTGGCTTTGGACCTTATTCTTTGGTTGGATAAGGAAAAAAAATAGAGAACAAGTAAAATTAAAAGAAAAAATTTCTAAAATAGTAAAAAAAAATTAGTGTTATTTTTTATTTCAACTCTTAATTTTCTCCCTCTTATTTTCTTTTGGCTTTTCGGATCATTTTCTCCTCAACTTCCAACCTTCAACCGCCTCTGTCAAGTTGGCCAAAAGAGAGATGAAAAAGGTCAGTATCAAGTTGGTCATGAACCATGATATAATGGTTTATGACAAGATTTATGAAAAATAATCCATTAATATAAATCACTATACTAGATCGAAGCCTGCATGGACTTGCTCTTCGTTCTGGGCCTCAACTCTTGCAATGGAATGAAGATCGTCGTTGGAGAGGGTTTATATGGGGTGATCCACCACTACAGTTTCAATCAGAGGGTGGTGAAAAGGTGACTCTTGCACTAAGACACTCCATGCTGGCAAGCAGAATCAGCATTAACAGTGGAAAATAAACAGGCATCAAGCCAATTTTATGGTTTGGTTACTATTACACCAATTTAGATGATGTTATGGGTATTTTTTTTCTCTCACTTTAAGTTATTGGATACTTCTAATCAATAATTTTGAGGATATTTTTTACCCCTTTTCCTTATATTTTATATTGTAATGTCTATAGTTTTGCATGTAAAAACAAATCTGTGTCCAAGGCTTAAGGGATAAAGGTTTTGTACACATATTTTGAGCTAGTCACATTTTATTTTTGGGACATGAAAAATACCTAGAAATTTTTTTTCCAGGAGATTATTGTATCCTTAAATCAACAATGGTGCATGAGTACTATTTATTAACTTTATGAAAGAAACTAACATTTTTCAATTTATTAAGTTTTATCATTAGAACTTAATGGTCAAGATCAAGCTATTTAACATATTGAGAAATGTTGACCTCTTCTCGAAATATCACTTTGGGTGAATGAAGTTACGGATCCACCGGTTCCGCGTCCTCTTTTGACTTTTTTGGACAATAGTTAAAATTGGTTTTAATTCAGGTCAAATAGCTTCAAGCAGCAGGACATCCTCATTGCACAATATGGATAGAAGAGTGGGTAAAGGATGCAGACAAGGAGATGAAGTGATAATGCTCATTGCATGAACATGAGAAATTTTTGGTCCGAAAATTGTTGGATGCCTAAACTACCAGTCAATTAGCATTTTCTTTTTTTAACTTTTTACATGGTCAAAACAAAAATTATTGAAGTACTTTGAGTGTTTACAAGATCAGTGCAAAATTTTTTTGCAAGTTTTATGAACGTTTTTGTCATGCGCAAGAGCATTGGGGATTCAATTTATTTCTTTGATTGGGCTGAAGGACCGGTTGCCACAAGCCAATTTCTTTGTGGAAATGTGTCATATATATATATATAGTCGCTGTTGTAAATGCTTTAACGTTGTTGTTAATGTCTAAATTTAGTATTATTAACAAAGTTGTATAATAACTAGATTTATTAGCTGTGATGTCGATGTTTTGGAAGCTTTTGTAAATTAATTGTGTTGTAAGGCCAATTTTGGATTTCATCACTTGATATACATGGTGCTGGCTTGTACAAAAAGGATCGGATGTTATAAATTAATGAAAGTTAAATTAACTTGTTTCCTATATATTTTAAGTGCACACATTATATGTATGAGATAATAGATTCTCTATTATTGAATTATAGGAATATTTGATATATTGTACCTGGACGACATAAAAGGGACAACATGCTTCTTGAAAAGTAAACCCACATGCAATAACATGCGTGCATTCAAAAGAATCCAAGTACAAGGAAAGAAAAATGAAAAACGTGTGCCACAAATTGTTAAGGCCACTGAGTCACTAATTAGTCTTTAAACATATCGTTAAACACGCAACTTAGATTTGTGCCGCTGGATCGCTAAAATGTGATCACACACACACACACACACACACATTTACATACACCTTAATGGGACTTTATATTGGACTGAATCAACATTACGATACTATGGCTGCTGATTGATGACACACATATCAAGACATTCTGTTTTTGGCTTTTTATCACTCATGCAAAGTGGCCGCAGCATTTTGAGTTTTCAATGTTTTTTTAACGGTAAGGATTTAAAATGCCTCTCAATTAAGCGAAAAGGGTCAAGATCACCCCTGAAGTTAAAAAATAGTTATTTATATCCGTCAACCGCTAAGATTTTTCATTCCATCACCTTATTATTTATTCCGTCAAATTTCACTATTAGTGAAGCCTGCATTTGAATTTTTTAATATTTTTAGTTGGTCCCACCATTTTTTTATAGGATTAAGGGTCAAATGCCCCTCAACTAAGCAGAAAAGGGCCAAAGTCACCTCTAAAATCAAGGGTCATTTATGTCCTTCAATTGCTAAGATTTTTTATTTTATTACCCTATCATTTGTTTCGTCAAAATTCACCTCTGGTGGAGCTCACATTTAAATTTTTAATATTTTTAATGGGTCCCACCATTTTTTATATTTTTAGTAGGTCTCCTCAAGGTTTAGGCCACACTTTCGAGCGAGTCTCGGTTCAAGCTCATAAAAATTTAAACTTTATATCATGGCTCTCCAATTTTTCTATTGTAATTCCTCACCTTACCTTCAAATCTGCCATGGCTAATTAAATGGTGCCAAAACTCCGCCAACTATTGCAGGAACATGCTTTCGGTGCACTCCTCAACCTGGTCATTCACGATAATATCAAGACTGCAATCGGCATGTTGGGTGCTCTGCCGCAGCTACTCCACTTGCTTCAATACAAGAATGAGTGAATGAGAGGGAATGAAGGGGGGGGACGTGAGAGAGAGAGGGGGGAGACAGGTATTTTTAAAAAAATTATAAAAAAATAAAAAAATTTAAATGTGGGCCCCACTAATGGTGAAAATTGACACAATAGACAGTCATGACAGAGTCAAAAATTTTAGCAATTAAGGAATATAAATGACGTTTTCTTGACTTTAAGGGTGACTCTAATTTTTTTTGCTCAGTTCAGGGGCATTTTAGACTCTTAACCTTAAAAATATAATAAAAAAATATATAAAGTTGGTCCCCCTATTACATTTTATTATTAAAAAATATTTAAAATATTTAATAGATAATTAACGCCAAGGGCATGGAGGAAGCAAAATTCTAAGACTGAGGGATAAAATTGACCTCAAGCACTTTCTTCCCAACTCCGATTTGGGGGAAGAAAAATAAAAGAAATAAAATAGAAACAGAGATAATGAAAAGAAAAAAATTATAAAAAAAAATTATCACTCATCTATATATATATATATATATACACACAATAGAAGAATAACAAGCACATTTCTATGGATGACAAATGTCATTTCTTTAAATACTACAATTTCAGAAAGCCACATAAGATTTTACTTGCAAAATTATTTTTAATTCATAAATATAATTTATTTTTATTCCATGATTTCAATAACTTTTTAACCCATGATTTAATAATTTTCTAATCTCACGCTTTCACTTTTAGATATGGTTAGTTATTTAGTATTCTATCATTTTAATAACTTCTTTACTCTACAATTTAGTTTGTGATTTTTTTTTAATTCATGCATATAATTAAACTTAAATATGGATAGTTATTTAGATTATTCATTTCAGTAACTTCTTAACCCATGATCTAATAATTTTCTAACCTCAAAATTCATCTTTTAGATATGGTTAGCTATTTAGTATTCTATTATTTTAATAACTTTCTTACTCTATGATTTAGTTTGTAATTTTTTTAATTCGTGCATATAATTAAATTTAAATATGGATAGTTATTTAGATTATTATATCATTCTAATAACTTCTCAGATCCACGATTCACATAGAATTTGGTGAGAATATAGATATATATATATATATATAATAGATAAATAAGAAATAATTTTTCAAGTTTGACACGTATGAGTTTTTTTTAAAAATATTACAATTCTATGCTATCCACATCATCATTAATTTTTAAAACTATTTTTTCTAATTTATAAGATTGCAATTTGAAAATATAACTTCTCTCCCATGATCTCAAAATCTTAAATATAATTTCTCAACTAATTCGAAATTCAAAATTTTATTTTTAAAAATTTTATCCTTAATATTCTCTCTCATAATTTCAAATATAACTTCCCAAATATTGCCATTTTGTGAATAATTTTGAATTGATATAATAATTTTATGAATAATAATTTAAATAATTTTATTGCAAATTAAATCATATAAATAAACAAATAAAAACTGAATTATAAACGTATGAATTAATAAAATAATTACATTAAATTCTTTATATGTTATTAATTAATATAATTCTCATTTATAATTTAATTAAATATATATAATTTATGAATTAAGTAATTAACAGATAATTTCCTAACCCCACGATTCTTCTTTTTGATATGGTTAGTTATTCAGTATTCTATCATTCTAATACATTCCTTGCTCTACAATTTAATTTGTGATTTTCTTTATTCATGCATATAATTAAATTTAAATATGGATAGTTATTTAGATTATTCATTCCAGTAACTTTTTAATCCATAATCTAATAATTTTCTAACCCCACAATCCCTCTTTTAGATATGGTTAGTTATTCAATATTCTATCATTCTAATAACTTCCTTGCTCTATGATTTATTTGTGATTGTTTTAATTCATGCATATAATTAAATTTAAATATGGATAGTTATTTAGATTATTTTATCATTCTAATAACTTCTTAGCTCCATGATTCACATAGAATTTGGTGAGAATATATATATATATATATATATAATAGATAAATAAGAAACACTTTTTCAAGCTTGACATGTGAGTTTTTTTAAAATATTATAATTCTATGCTATCCACATCATTATTAATTTTTAAAAATAATTTTTTTTAATTTTTAAGATTGTAATTTGAAAATGTAACTTCTTTCCCATGATCTCAAATCTCAAATATAATTTCCCAACTAATTCACTATTTAAAATTTTATTTTTAAAAATTTTATCCTTGATATTCTCTCACATGATTTCAAACATAACTTTCCAAATATTTCCATTTCATGAATAATTTTGAATTGGTATAATAATTTTATGAATA